CCTCCTTCTCCTCGGCCTCCTCTTCCACCGCTTTCTCTTCCACATTTTTGTCTCCATCCACACGGTCTCCAGGTGGTGTTGGTGCAAGTCTGGGGGAAGGTGGCTCGGTGTGTGTCGGTCTAGCCGGCTCCATTGTCTCCGATTCAGGTTTCCCAAAAGCACTGAAAGTGTCAAGAATTGTGTGAGGAATCGGGGCGACGTAAATTTGTGTTTACAGAAGTGTTACTTGAAACCCTATCTGTCGATGTGCTTCGATACACACAAGCTGTGCAATTGTATTTACAAATGAGAAGTCATTTTATGCAAATACAAGCTGCCAGGCGTACGCACAACTGTAACTGGTGTTGGTTGATTAATGTTGGGCACTGCCCATAAAAGAGATTAGTGAAATTTGCTCAGAATTTTCGAAATCCATAACAAAGTAACAAAAACAAGGAGTTTGTGAAATTAAGCACAAGTGAAACAGCGCGAATTTACCAGAATTCACGCGCCGTTTAAAAATGTACACAGAAGAAAATTTATTCTAGCATGAGCATAAATCGCTATCACATGACAATAATGCATAAAAAAATCCGAAGCATCTTTGAAATCGGATAAAAAATAAAAAATCTGATCACAATTCTAACCAACAGTCATGGTTGTCCTTAAGCACAATCATCTATAAAGACGGCTAGTCGAAGAAATCCAGCAAACCAATTTGGATTTTCAGATGAATTAAAAAAAGGTTAGCACATAAGGTCGCAAAGCATTAACAAGGAACTTACTTATTATTCACCTGATTAGCCGCCTGTGGAGTAGAAAGACTGATACCATCACTGCTGTTAGACGCACGCGGACTATCGCTCAGGTCGCCATACCGCAACATGGTGGGTAACGGCGGCGGCTGACGAAGAGGTCGCTTGCTTTGAAGGTGTGGAGGGAGGGTACACAGGGCCTTGGAGAGGGGAATGTAAGCTAGCTCGGAGGGTGAGAGGTCTACGTAATTCTCCGTGAACTGGCCTGGGATCACGGCAACGGGATAGGCACCATCCTTTCGCACTGGGGGTTCCAGCAGACGGTAGGGCCACTGAGGAACATGGATCTGCATAGTTTGTAAGTCCCAGTAGCAGCGACGATCCTTCTGACGCTCGGCAACCAACTGCCTGTTAAAATCCGACGCCGATTCCAACGCGCGTTTTCGAGCTAGTTCAGCTCGTGCCTCTCCCCGGCCTATTCGAGCTGCTTCGTATTGGCGTTTTTGACGATCGGCGAGTTGCTGGAACCGACGCTGTCGAAAGAGATCACTGACTACCACATGGATTTCAGGGAAATCATTTTGGAGTAGGGCCATCACCTCATCACTGAGAAGAGCAGTAAGACCAAGTTCAGCGCGACCAGGTGGCACCAGACCACCTTCTTGGAGCCAAGTGCGCTCATAAGCGTCACATATGCGACGTTGAAGGTCCGGATAACGCCGCTTAAACGACTTTACCTGTGAATTCAAGAAATTCTCACATGTCAGATATCGCTCAAACAAAGAGAACTAATAAGAGAACTTCATACCTTCAGAAAATCAGCCAACAACTCTTGGATCACATAATATGTCGGGCCATCTTTGCTTTCTGATGCTCCCTCCTCGGGCCAGGCGTATTCAAAGAGCTGTTCAAGTGTGATATCATCGGAAACATCCGCATAGGCACTGACTCTGGAAAGAATAGTTTCTGCTTTGATACGAGAGTCCCTTCGATTACTAGACAAACTTTGCGAACCCAATGAAGTGCCCTGAATAGTGATAGTTACTTTAGGATTACAACTTACTGGATGAGAAAGCTCAGAATCGACGTCATTTTTTCTACTGGATGGAGTGAGAGGAAGACCATCCAAACTATCATCCAAACTAAATACAGTTTCCTCATCAAGAAGGTCTTTAGGAGGTGCGTGGTTATCTTCAAGCAATGGCTTTGACATTTTAGCAATGTATGAGCATTTACACACTAGAAAACATCATTGTAAAGTGCGCCACGTCTATTGGCTATTTATAAGCAAAGGTTAAATTACCATCAGACTGTCAAAAACAAATGAGAAATGTGGATATTGCTATAAGCATTAAATGAAGGCTACATAGTACAGTAAAATAGAAATTTTTTAACTACATACTTTTTACAAACGAGTAATAATCTAATAATATTTTTTTCCTGGTAAATAAGTAATAATGGCTAGAATTTTGAAAAAAAGTTAAAACATGGTGGATGTCATGTAAACGTTTGAAAATATTAGAGTTGTGAGTAGTGACAATCTAATTTGTTAAATGATCTCACTTTGAAAGAGTAAAATGTTATCCATCATTTCATCTGTGTATAAAACAAATAAAAACCTTTTAAAATGCTTTTTCTAAAATTTATTCTACACATGTTGCAGTCACTAATTGCCTGTGTTAACTGATTTGTAAGTCAAAAGACACGTAGCAGAGAATCACTTTCTATCCTCTTTGGAAATTACGACAATTGCCAAATCGATATTTAAGATCTGAAATTGTGATATGTTTGAAGTAGGTCCAAAAATATTTCTCACATCTATTTCAATAGTTTTTTTTGCATTTTGAATGGGCGCATTGCTTCCATGATGTGCAGTTCTTTTAAACTTATCCGCGCATCTTATTTTTCTAATTCTACTTAACGTGGTGTTTTTTCTCAATAGCTGACTTGTTTTACAGTCGTTCTAAATTAAGCCAAGGCGTATAATAGAATATGCAATTTGTCAATCACGATCAATTAGCCAAAAAGCCTAAACAAGATCGTAAGTTATTTAGTAATTTAATTTCTGTTTTCTAGTTTGTACAAAAACCGGTGCAGTTGTCTTGCACAACTCTATAAATTTTTTTACTCCGTATACTACACATTGTAAAATTATGAATTTGTCTCCAATTTTAAACGGAAATTAAAGGAATCTTTTATTGAATTATTTAAATATATACTGTTTTGCTTCTTTGTAAATAACCCGAAAATCACCGCCGTATTTATTGGTTACTGCTACGCCGATTTTTAATAACTTTTAATGGAATGTACCGAATAAATTCAAAACTTAAGCGGAAGTTTGTCAAATGTTTTTACTAGTGGACACCCGCTTAGGCACTTTTAGGCGATGTAATTGAATGGAGTCAAAACTGTGTGGTAAGCCATGATCGACACGACGTGACTTAACATTTTGCATGAGTGATTTAAAGTGAAACATATTATTGATTTGTACAAGATATACTGATGTTTGCAAAAATCTACCTTTCCTCAACACTAATACTTCTACCCCAGACAATCAAGAACGAATATGTTTAAGCAATGGTGTAACACTTTCTACTAATCACTCATCACTTTATTCTCTTTTGCCACACGTTTATCGAAATTTCATTGCCATCAAATGCTTCTATGTCCACTCGTAGGTGGACAATATTCAAAATGTTTCCTAATTGGAGTTCATTAACTAAATAATATTGCGGTCCATTTTTCCTATTTGCATCTTGTCAACGTACCAGGTGGTGAAGATAATCAAGGTTCAGTTTTGTTGTTAAATTAGGACACCCTCGAAACCGGTCGAAATGTTCGCCTAATGTACCAATGAACTGACAACTTAAACAAACTAATTGTTTTGGAGCATTTTTCCTACTTCCATTTATTTGAGGCGAAATTTTATAGTTGTGGTGCAGCTTAGATTAAGGCACTGATAGTCCTGAACAGCTCCTTCCAATAACGCCTGCAGAAGCAGTAGTGGCTATGCGCTCTGGAATCGAAAAAGGCAAGACTAATCTTAAATAAGATTTATTGCGGCAGTAATTAAAGTAAAACAGTAAATGTAAACAACAAATACAGTCGTTTACCACTATTTTGCGTCTTTGAGTGGTGTTCAAACAAAATCAGCATAATAAAACAAAAGGCTATACTGAAATGACACAATAAATGCCACATCTCCTCTAAAGATAATTTAAAATCACAGATTTAGGTTAGCTGGTACTGAGTGAAAAAGTCTATAAACAGGCGTTTATAGGGGTCAAATGTTTACTCCGGACATTGGGAAGCACTTGGCCGTGTTAACCCTGACGCTCCGCTTAGTGGCGTGTTACTACTGTGTTTGATGCAGTTCCTTCATTACGTTGGTGGGCGACGCCTGAGGCGTTGGCAGCGTCATCACTTGGCACTTCTTGAGTTCAGCAGTTGGGTACCCTGTCTGACCATTAAAGTTGACTAATTGAAACATGGGAAGCACATTTTTATGCATCAAAGTGTCACAGTAGAACCACTAGTGTTAAATTCACTATGGCTTTGGCCGATGAACCTTCGTGGCCGCCTTAGTACATTTAGCAATCGGTTTCACCAGTGTTGATAAAACAGATTGCACTGTGGTTCTAACCATTACTCCTGGTAAAAAAACTTTTGAATGGTCAAGACAGGGTTGAGACATCTTCGAAAAGACCAATCGGATTTAAAAGTCAAGTTGACATGTTAATTCCTATGACCTGGGGATAGTGGAAATTCATATTCCACAAATAAGTCGGTCGTGGAGGGTCAAAGGTCAACAGGGCAGTGAAGTGGCGAAGCGACACCAGGTGTGGTTCAAGCATTTCCAACAAGATTAGCACGACATGTTGGTGAATGGGGCCAATAACTGCCGATTCATGAGCTCCAATGCAGTGCCGTGGCAATGTGTTGTGGTTGGTTAAGGAGATCTGCTGTGAGACCGGTGCTTAGGTTGCATTTCTCTATACTCGTAAATTTGACCTTAACCCCCACAATGGTCCTGTTCATGATAATTACCTGTGGCCAGCAAATGGACGTTTTTATTGGTTAACTGTGCACTATCCGCCTCGTGCAGTTTCTGCGGACAATTTGATTGTCACTTTATTTGGTGAGGCTGGTATACTTC